AATTAAAATTATAATTTACACTCAATACGTTATTATTGCATACTGTTTTATAATGTACTACAATACTGAAGTGCAGATAATTGCCACTATTTGCAACAAGTAGTATGCTTGATAGTAGAAATCCTGCTATTTTAACAGTGTAAATAGGTATTTGCACTTAGTGTAAATAGCATATTGCTAAAAATATTGCTATTTTCACTTAGTGTAAATAGAATCCATTGCTAATACGAGATTTGAAAAGGGAGAAAAAAAAAGTTCGGCAAAAGGCGGGATCGAACCCCGGTCGATCGCGTCAAAAAGCTGAGGGTAGACATTTATGCATCTGCACCACTTGAGTTGATGATTTTTAGACACATTTAACTACATGTAAATAGACACCCCGTATTTTTTATTCCAGAGTAAGGGCGATTCATACAATACATTTAAACTGAGCTACTTTAATACCATCTCCGAACTTTCTACCACGACTCTGCTGTTCTTCGGCTGGTTCTTCCTGTATACGTTGATTGACAGATACATTTAAACTGAGCTACTTTAATACCATCTCCGAACTTTCTACCACGACTCTGCTGTTCTTCGGCTGGTTCTTCCCTGTATACGGTGATTGACAGATGTCTCGTCCAGTCAGCGGTGAGTAATCCCAAACCAATGGCGCTGTCTCAAACTATACCTACCTTTTCCGGTTTATCTGATTTGTCTTGTGTTTTCTGACTTGTAAATTTGTTTTCGGATTTGTCATTGTGTTTTCTGACTTGTTATAATGTTTTCTGAATTGTTGTTGTGATTTCTGAATTGTTATTTTGTTTTTTAGACTTGCATTTGCGTTTGTAATTTGTTATTTTGTTTTCAGAATTGTGATCTGCTTTGCACTTCTCGGTCACCGTAACTCTGCCATCTGGTGGACAATAAAAATTCTTACACCAACTGTGTCATTCAGATGTTTTGTTCATTGGGATGTCATTGTAAGGTTTATTTCTGTTTTTAATAAGCATATATGTCATTAGCAAGGAGGCGTGTGTGCAGCGATAGAGTTTCCAAAATGTATTGTATTTTGCACAATACAATGACAATATGTTGTTCATTTTTACTTCGCATCAAACTTCTCTTTTCACCTTCTAAATAGAATGTTTAATACGCCAATAAATTAGACCTACATAATTTTTCATTGCACCTTTTTTGTGTCTTCCTTACAAAAGAACACACACATGCACATTGTTAAAAAAAATACACAAATGCACAAATACAAATGCAATTACATATATTTTTCTAACCAAATGTGAGCTGTTGACAACTGAGGATGGCGTTTACAAGCAGTAAAAAAGTTTGTGGTTGAGGAAGGACTTTTATCCTTTTTGGGAACAATGGTTGCCCGCGAGATGTTTTAATTTTCATTCAGACAACTGACATTCATACGTCATTGTTTTTAATAGTAGTACTTTAATTAACAATGCTAAACCACGTAAAAAAAAAAAACAACTACATAC